ATGCTAAGCTTCGTTACTTCTTTCGCCTGACACGGTCAATGAACCAAACTCACTACTGCAGGGATTCATTGACCTGTATTTGAGTCGTTCACTCAGAACACTTGCTGATCACTTTGTGATCGCCTCCCTGACTCATTCTTTTCATTTGCTTCATAGTGAGATTATGCCGTAGTTACCCCTTGCATTTACCATTACACCGGGTAATCAGCTATCGGGTGGATGAAGGCGAAGTGCATCCATAAAGAGTGCTCACCTCAGACAATATGGCGGAACACCCTCGCCCATTCGGCAAGACCAGACCCGAATGGCATGTTCTCCTCTTTGTTCGCAAGTCACCGGAATCGCCATCCGCTTCTTGGTTGGTTGCTCAAAACAATGTGAGTTTACTTCCTTATTCAATAGAATATGCGGTTAAGACAAAGAGTTTTTTACCGGGTTCAGATCAGGCAATTTCAGAATTCAAAGCCGACTTCTTTGCCACTGTATTATCATAGTTTCGAAGTATGTGAGCAGAACATCTAGTGAAACAGTTTATGAACCGCTTCAGTCCATTACTGTTATTTACCTTGTTTTTTCGAAATTACGTTTTCTGTCGTATTTTAAATCATTCAATCTTATGGTCTGTCCGTACTGCTGCAGCTAAAACGCGCTGCTGTCTACCATATAGTCTCTGACATGTTCAGGCTATGAGAAAAAGGTCGGTGCCCCAAATGTTGTTCTTTTCACATAAGTCTCAACGGTGATCTATCTCGGTCGCTTATGGTGCTTGAAAATTATAGCTAATTTGAGTGGGATGCAATGGACAGGCATTGTTTTGCATGTCGTAAATGAATTATTTAATGAGAACCTAATATTATTTTTGCGTAACGCAAATAACACACGCTGGCCATTTAAAAAAATTATCTCGTTGCATGTCTCTATCCCTAGTAATCTCTTAATTTATGTCATTGCTATGAACCCTAGAAACTGTTCATAAGGCTAACACTTGTAAAATCCAAATGTATATCCTACTGATTCCTATCTAATAAGCTTTCCTCGGTTGCAGAGGTAAAAAATCTCTCCAAACGTAAAAATATCTCTCCAAAATATCTCGTTAACGTTGTAACCGTATCCAAATATGACGAAACATAAAAAACAACATTGTTCAATCGTGTCGTTTACTGCGTCTAAATTCGAAGTTCTTTTCAATCTAAATTCTATCATATCTAACCTGTACTAACGCATCGAAATGACATTCGCGATCATTAGCGCATTTATGTGCAATAGTTCAGTAACGACTTGCGTTCGTGGCTCATTTGTAATGAGGACAAATCGAATGACAAATGAACAACAGCTACATACATAATTCAATGTATACATAATATGTATGAAAAGTCGGTACAATTTTCATTAAAAGTTAAAATACAACATAAACAAACGTCTACTACATAATCAAAATGAATTTCTTCAAGTTCTTTAAAAAAAAATTCGTCAAGGTGGAAGCGGTAACAGAAACTTTAATGTTGAAGTTGGTGGTTCATTGAGATCGCGATTGTAAAACAACAAACTCTGACATTGGCATCTATGCGTGAAGGTGCAGCAACAGAAATGAATCGCTTAAGTGTAGCTACTTTTCAACAAAAAGTAATTTTGTTCTCTGTTCTTCATGACTTTCGTGGTAACAGATAAGAATGTCGTCGTCCATTACCTGCCCGAAAGCAGAGCTAGCCTCTATTTTAGGATCATTATCCTGCAAGAAGTTATGCGTTTTATTGGCTAATTCAAGAACTGTAATTTAAAATATTTCATCTCGATCTTCTAGTTTATTTTGCTATTTCAGCTGTTTCTGCAGCTGAATAAATTCTTTATTCATCTTCATCAACCATGACTGATTCTCCTTTCGAGGCAGATGCGTCAGACGGAGCTTCCAACGTTCCCGATTCTGTATCAGAGTCTGAGCTTCGGCAAAAGACAAATGCAGTCTGGAACAGACTTCGTCCATATATTTGCACCAGGTTAATCTTGGCCGTCCCCTGGGCCTTCTGTCTGTCGGTTGGGCAAGAAACAGTTGCTTAGCCTTCCTTTCTGGAGGCATTCACAACGTAAACATTTTATTTGCCAGTCAATTTCTATAGGAATCTAAGGCATCCTCCATATATTTCTTATCAACTTCATCAAAGTAAACTTCGCTTAAAAGTTGCACAATCTCATCTTGATGATAATCAGTGACTTCCTTAGTGGCAGAAGAGTCAGAAATAGCGGCTGGTTTGCAAGAACTGACATATGCAAAAATTAGCTCGTACTTGAATCAGCGAAAACTTGGCAGCCGAATGCATATATATTGGAAAATTACTTAGTTTGAAGTAACGTCGGATTTTCTGCTGTGATATAACAAGTCTGCAGTTAGCAGATTTGAAAACTCATTAGTAAACTTGTTGAGTAATTGCTGAAAATGCAGGTTCATTTTTTTTATTAACACGTTTCTTTTAATTAGGGTCTACTTGAAACGTTGCCCTAAAATTTTATATTATCAAGATATTAGTGTTTAATGATGGAAAAATGATCTTGAACATTCTACAAGCTGGCATTACCAATTTTGCCCTGGTGATGCTACTGGCGTAATGGGAAATTGCGTAGGCAACCAAAACAGTGGTCTCTACTTTGTTTAAAGCCCTGAACTATTGATTACAATGGCGGGCCCAGAATCTCAAAAATTGCTGCGTTCATTGTAATTCGAGTAAAGGTAAATGTAGCAGAAAGAGTCTAGATGAACGAAAAGTGTACTCGTGCAAAACAGATTGTCAGTTGCTCCCTTATATTTCTGGTGATAGACTTCAAATTTTATACCTAATTGTTTTCTTTGTCATCTTCTTAACGAGATCAAAGATTTTGGGCAGGTAACGGTTTAATGGACATTATAATTAAACGAACGCGTTGTTCCTTTGTTAAAATCTTTTACCTTTGCTAGGTGATGGACACAAAACCTCCAGAAAGAGAAAAATGTGGCGTTTCATACGGTAGGAAGAAACGCTTCAACCAACCTCGTCGCTAAGAGGCTTTATTTGCTTCATTTAGTAACTGCACGATACCACTCGAAATATTTATCCAGCTTTGCTGTCAGGGAATACTTCCGGCCAGATGGACGACATGGGGAAGTGACATGTTCCCAAAGTTCGATTGAGAAGACTGGGCCTGACGTTAGTAGCATCCTTTACTTCAGGGCTGGGGAAAAATGTCCGTGTAAGACTTTATTTTACTCATTCTATCGATTCTGCACGACTACGAAGTATGACCTTATATGATCGATCATTTTTTTGCTAATTTAATATTCGCATCAGGGGTGCCGAATATGGTATAATGAGAATGAACTAATCATTGAAAGAACACACATGAACGGAGAACATGAAGAACCAAGGAACAAAAGCTTATCCAAGGATGCCCTGTTCAAAACCAGAACTTTCATTGGCTACGAATATACAGTGATTAGTTGTAATTGTTTTGAAATACCGCGAGGGGGGAGGGACAAAAATATCCTTTCTCGATCGAACATTCAAACCTTAAGCAGCACAATATCTTGTCGAAAGATCAGCAAGGAGTAAAATAATTCTAAGAAACAAATTATAGAAATTTGCATGTATTTAATAATAATTCTTGGTTAAACGAGAGCCACTGAAGGTTAACAAAATTTCAAAATGTCCTCTGTCTAATGGCAGTAAGCAGTTAACTTTTGCCTAAATTTTGAGAATTTGGTTTGGCTAACTGTTCACTTTTGCTGAGACCGTTTGACTCATGCTTTCGAGGTAATTTTTGTCTTGTCTAAACTGTTAATCATAAATAACAGGTAGAATAATGATAGAAACGTTTACAGACAAGTACAGAATCGATCAGGTAGCGAATTCTTTAGCTTTTTGGATGATTTCCATTGTGTAAATAAAAATGGGTATTTAACAACAAAACGCGAAAACGTATATCAATTAAGGTTTATTTTTTTTACACTGATAAAATGTGTTTGTTCCTTTACTACGTCTACGTAGTCATTCGATTTTTATTATGTTCATAAATAAACAGTAAATTTAAAGAGACATTTGTATCCTTCCGTCGAGATGCTACTGGTTAACGTTAAAATATTTTCTTTTCAAAACTTAACTCATTCAATGTTAGTTCCTCAAAAATGTGCGTTTTAGACTTTGTGATTAAAACCGGACCACTCAGCGGCAATGGTCAGTACGAATATGTCATGTTCGCACAGTTTTTGAAACATCCGATAATCACTTGGGCCCGTGATCCTGTTACATTCCACCTCAACTACACAAAGGACATCGAAGGGTTCTTAGAAAAGTCTGAATTGAAGAATTTTCTCGCTAGGGCAGGCGAAGGCGTCCATTATTACAACCATTTGCTGTGCCCTGTTTCATTTTATCAATTTATTAATCTATAAACTTCGAGATATTTGTATTTACACTAAGCAAACTATTTTAATAGTATTCCAGAGCGGCTGACCAGAATTAACCACAGACGTAGTATTTCATACCAGTTCTGTAAGAAAACTGCTTCATTTGCATCGGTTGATCAGTAGGTGTACGCTGATGTCACTGTTGTGTACATATATCTTCTCCAAACTGTAACTTCGACGTGTACGTGATGAGAACTTGGATTGCGATTACGGGAAATCTCGTAGGTATGTTGATGGATTATTTTATAATCATTTCTTTGTAGCAATTACTGCATCAGCGAAAAATTATCCTTTACATGTATGGCCATTTTAAAACTGATGAGAAATCAATGGCTGTGAAACGCATGAGGAATAGGCAAACATAAAACAACATATCTTCTAATATATTACTGTATGTCACTGTCGCATCTAGGAATCCTATCATTGCGGCAGGGTGAAATAATTTGCACATTTCGGTAGCTCCAAATACATGTAATCGAGAACGAATTGTGGACTAAAAGTTTTGATAGACAAATGCATACTGAAACCTCAGTATGATGATTTTGTGAATACAGAAGTGAACACAGAATAATAACATTGGTTACGAATCAATATTTTCTTTTCATATTCTGTCTCACTATCAAGTATTCCAATAATTTCAATAGAGGTGAACTGCATATTCTACGAACTGTGGCAAACTATTATATCTATTACTATTTGCAAATTTTTTACTATGCACTGCGGTCTGAAATTAGAAAACTGATGACAAATATATACACTTCGTTTAACGTGTATCTCGTTCTTAAATAATCATCAAACTTTTAAGAACAAGATCAATTTAGAAAGGTTACGTAAATCATTTTGTGCAGTTGTGCTAATTGACATATTTCTAGAATTCCAGCGTAAACTGCTCATTACTAAAAGCCCAAGTAACGAGGACATGGCTATGGGGAAGTCATCGGCAGAAAAATGTACAATTTTAATAACTGAACAACGCCGAAGGCATCATGCCATTTCAAATTCTAACGGAGACAGATGATTTACTTCAATACTACCCACAGCATCTAGGAGTAAGATTCGATGTAATGACGGCGTAAAAGGAGATTAATGACAGTCCATGCTTACTGCCTGCTAAGACATTTTACTTGACGGTGTTTGTAAATGCGTGTTATAGACATCAACCAGCGAATGACGTTTCAAAGCAGAGTTGTCACATACGTCATGTCGTAGGTTTATGGTTGGAACAGCAGCAAGTGAAAGACTGTTTTTCCAATGAAGATTTTTTAGCATTTGATCAATGACATTGTTCAATAAGTTCTGTCCGTATCTTTGAAAGCATTCGCAAACTTTCATCCAAAAATTCACACAAAATAATCTATATATCCTCTTGAAATGGATATTGGAAGCTTGACTTCAGGCGAACCCTGTCCCCATCGTAGACGGGGATAATTCCCGGAGGTGATCGAACAAAGCACACGAAATATTGTCCGTGTTCTTGGCTGTACATGCAGATGCTTCCGTCGGGACACCGGTTCCACGGATGTATCGAATTCAATTCACAACCGATAGATGGCCAGTTGTATGCCATCCCAGTAAGTATGTTTTTAGCACGTACCTGTAAAGGCTTAAAATCTTGAAAGAACGAATCCTGTGCAAAGCGATTAAATAAATTAGAAATTAATTCATTGTCTCTTTGGGGCCGATCGACATGGGCTTCATGCAGACAGCATATATGGTTAGAAGTTTCTTCAGATGAGCCGAAACATTCGGCACGATCAGGACAGTCTTGACTGCTGACGCATGGCTTGGTTTCGCCATCGATCGTCCGGTAAGGTAGTCGTCCATTAGGACAAAAGTTTCCTAAAAATGGATATATGATGGATGACAAATAATTTGAGCAAGTAATTTCAAATTTCTGAATCTTCAAACTTTTAAAATTGACTGATGCTTTCTTTGTTAAAACTGATAGCCCCATTATAAATTTCGGCAAAATTACTCATCCTCTAATATTGGTGCTGATCGTCGCGGGAATGAATAATTCAATCCCCTCTCTGCTTCTTTAGAGGACAACAGTCATCGTTTCGAATTTTTATGCTATCAGTCAACTGCGACAAAAGACAACGAGGTTTTTTTAGAGGTAGCCTTCCATCTTTATCAGGAGCCGAAAGTTGACCTTTAGAGGATAGATGACCAAAGTCAAAGATTTCGTGGCATTTGCTCTGCGATCAACACAGACGACAAACTCCCATCATTCCGAATTTTGATCTTAAGGTGATTGAGTGCCAAGGAAGGGTTTAAAAGAACAAAGAATTTATGAAGTGAAAAAAACTGACTTGCTAAATTTCAAGCTCAGACATTCTTCTATGAATCGTATTAGATAAGTAATATTTGAAACCTGAACTATGTATCTATATGAAATGATTAAAATATTAGAATAATTATTTCGAAAGAGATACTCTGGCAGATTTTCTGAATGTGAATAATTGCCTATGCGACATGCGATTTGTTTTGTTTCGTGTTAAAGTACACGAGTATGACGAGATGTCTTTGAGCATCGCGACTTAAAAATGAAGGTAGCCTTACTCTATAAACGCCGGGACAAATGACGAATGTCATCCATAGTTCAGACAGATAAAAGTATGATACACAAGTTTGAATGAATTAATTGATTTTTCAGGCTTTGACTATATTTTCCCATGGATGTCTTGCTAAGGAATCGTATCTTGAATTAAGAGGGTATATAATTCGATGAACAATTTTGCACTGTCCTTTCTTCAGGGATGAGACAGATGGTGATTATCAATCCATCCTTTAATCATCAACAATTAGCGGTTTAATCCTGGTTTGATGCTAGCCCTGTTTCCTTTCCTTGTTTCAACGAAAGAACAGTAGCGGTTGTTGAGCTGCGTAGTAAAGCAGCGCAGGCTTCAACGTATGATGATGGTTAAATGACAGAAGTTCGTCAGGAATAAGTTTACTCTGTTATGGACAGAGGTGACCCGGTAGATATGGAGATTCAGAGCAAGAAGTTGCTCCCATTGGAGAAACTGGCTGCGCACACACCGTTTACTTCCGCCTGTGAATGGAACTTGTGTTGGAATCGAAACAAAGCAAATATCGATCAGGGGGCCAGCATACTACCTGGAGGAACAAAGTAAAAGCAGATCTGCCGTTGCAGAGGAATATTTCATTCTTCATTACAGGGTGTCTGATGGCAAACGTTTGGTAAAGTTGTCACTACAGCAGACGCCACAAACAGAAACGCTTTGCGTATGCAAACGGCAAAAGATGATGATTCCAAACAAAAAGAAACACTCCATTTTCATTAAAGCATCCCATCGTTTGCGTTCAGAGTTTTAACTGAAAAATTTTGCACTACTGTTCAAAACTGTTTTAGGATATATTATTTTATTGATATGTCACAAGTTGTTCTCTTTGGGAAAAAGGACTGTTTGCCCAACCTTTCGTTAGTACTCTGTAATGACTTATTTCATGTTTGATTTTGTTCTAAATAGCACAATACTCATATCAAAGCGGATGAATAAATTATAATTCTCTTTCGATACCAAAAAAGAAGTTATCTCTCGAAAAATCCCTCTTGATGTCTACGGTGAAAAGAGATGGTAACAATCAGCATTAGAGATAATTAATCATGCAAGATACATGATCTTGTACAATGGGTATATTTCTTTTTCCATGCTTTAGTGACATTTCATGAAGCTTGAATCGGTTTGTTATCAAACGTGGCAATCAGAAGTAGCAACCTCGATTTACAACTTAGAGGACAATCTCTAGAGATGAACTGCACTCATCTAATCCCTTAGAAGATGTGAATGATGACTACCTTCTGCATTACTTCTGGGGTAAAGTCAGTGTTAAAAAATTTTACAACGCTCTTAGCGACATATTTTTACTACTTGCGAAAAATCTATGCGACGCTGAAACATCATTCTTACCAGTTGAGTAACTATTGAATAAAATAATTGCACTGAGCTATTAAACAAAGTATTAAATTTATATCTAAGCGAAGCTTTCTAACCTGGCCGGTAGAAGAACACTAAGCAAGCGATTGTTGTCTTCCAAACATTCATGATATAGCGATCATAGACGGACAGGTACTGAATGTGAAACTGGTGCTTTCAGGTGGAACAGGAAGTCTTTCCGTGATCAAAATATAGGGACAAGCAACGAAGGTTGTTTCTAAAGCGAACACAAACAAACGTTAGTTATTATATGCACTTTGATACACATGTGAATGTGTGCAAATAGACTCGCGTGACTACCATTGTCACGAATTGCACAGCGCCAAGAAGTGGCCCCTACGCCCTGAAGTTTCGTGCAAACCGGTCCTCGACAAAGCAGTCGTTGACACTCAGCGCTAGTTAGTGTGATGCATTAAAACAACGAGGCGACCCGCTGTTTCTCACAGCAGTGGATTTGACTCGACGAAAGAGCCTAAAGGGCAGATAAAGGAAGCATTATCTTATATCTTCATTCATTTTAAAAAATGCTTTATCAGCTTCATTATGCAATGTTTACTTGAGAATCAAGTTTGCGGTTCGATAATGAGTTGAAATATTTCGAGTTTCGCGGCGTCCGACCCGATGGGCTGGTAAACATCACGAGCAACAGCAGTATCAACTGTACATTGTGTGCGCTGCGTAAATATTCTACAGTGGCTGTCCAATGGTCAAACCTCTTCACTAGCAAGGATTATATTCTGAACAGAAACCTGAAGGCGATTATTTGTCGTTAAAATCTTTTCGAAATGTGATCTGAATGATGTCTTTCTTCGGAATCATCAGACGTCTTTGTCCTTCAGACAACATAATGACAGCCAACCCTGAAGTTTATTACGTAAACCGATGCGTCGAGAGTTTCTCTCTAGACATTCGGAGTAATTGTGGGGCTAGAAACATCCATCCCTGAACTATATTATTTGTGGTTTATGAGCCAACTGGATATTAAATGAGAGTCAGAATAACTCACTGCGTTTGTGTGTAACG